GCCCCTCTCTTTCATACTTCATTCATTCGTGCATTCATTCAAGTCATTCATTCGTTTGCATACTTATTTATCCTGTCAGGCAGCGGTGTTTACTTTTGGTAGGCATAGTACTGATGTGACCTGCCTAGAATTCTCCCCCCCCCCTCATCCCTGCCCGCTTTCTCTCCCCCTATATTGTAACCTATTAACATTGTAAGTGTGAATAGTTTCAACATTATGACCTATTAACCTGTTAAGTGTAGGAGCTAATTTTGTTCGTACGCTGTAAAGGTAATTATGTCGATGTAAATTAGAAGACACATCTCAACCTAGACGCGAGATTTATATTTAAAAAACATGGATCAGATATGTTAACGGCAAATGTGGCGCTATAAATGTTTATCACTTGAACCGATGAAGGAACGCCTCCGAAATATATTCAAGTGTTTTTGGTAACTTTTGGCAATTTTTAGAATTTTGAACAGAAGGTTATTCCATTAAATATATTACATATAATGCTGTTCACCAGAGTGCTTCGTCATTTGATTGCAAAGTTATGGTCGTTCAAAAATATAAAGATGCAACATTTTGTAAAAATTCGATGCCCTATATTTAGAAGACCTGTGGTCAGAATGTGCAAAAAAACATCAATGTAATGTTCGGGGCGACACAGGAACTCGCTCACAAATTTATAATGAAATCGCTGATGGTAAGGTGCAAAACAGCCGATTTTTGTTCGATTTGACGTGGAATGCCCCAACTGGGGAGTGTTCGCTCGGTCGTGGGGATTACCGCTGTGCCAGCCAGCGCCCCCGGCCGCAGGTACACGGGCCTGATCCGCCTCTAAACAGATCCTTCGGTCCGGTGACATGTCCCGAGGGCACGGCCTCGCTTCATGTCCCGGAGCAGCCCTCTGACCTGCCGGGCCCGAGAAATCGGGATAGCCCCAGCGTGCGCACCAGTGCGGTGTCGGTCTGGGGTGCGTGACAGGAAGCGTGCGGTCAAGGCTGTCCCGCGTAGCGGGTGCCGAAAACGATTCGTACCACTGCCGTGTATATGTTGCAGGCACTTTAGAAAATCAGTCATTTTGTAAAATGCCTAGGCATTTTGTAAAATGCCTGATTTTCCAGGCTTTTTGCAAAAAGCCTAGGCATTTTACAAAATGACTGACTCTCCAGTCATTTTGCAAAATGCCTAGGCATTTTACAAAATATCTAGCCATTTTACAAAATGACTGAGCAGTGTGTTGTAGGTACGAGTACTTAATTATATACGTTTTGGTAGCGTGTAGGTCAGTGGTCGGCAGGTCATTCGGGGTCGTGCCCCCTTTTTGGGCGCCAGGCAGGGCCATTACCCCCACCTACCAGACCCCATTGCTGACACAACTAAGTTTACTGAAATTCCATACCGTCCTGGAACTCTTTGGGTATTTGTGCATTTCCAATGCATCAAATTTAAAACATGACACTTCCTCCACAAAACATTTAATGCCTATTGCCTATATCCCAGTAGCGGCGGAACACCTTCAATTAAGGGGGAGGGGGAGCAGTAGCACTGCCGACTTTTGGTCCCATTCTTTCCATGCAACGCCCATAGGGCTGGGCTAATGTTAAAATGCAAAAATCAAAGGGTGCACGGTGCCCCGGAGCCCTCCCCGTTCCGCCGCCTATGCTATATCCCATTTAACCCTTGTACGTATAGGGGCGGCGGGTGGTTTTTCGTTAAAAGCTCACGTAAAAGGCATTGGATCACGACCAAATTGTACCCTCGAGCCCATCATTTTTTTTTTCTCACCAGCCCGGAAAATATCATGACCTGAGACCTGTTTTACCAACAGAAAAATAACCTCCTGCCAGAATTTTTGCCTCAAGACCGCTTCACATACGGAGCGTAAACGCGATGGGCTCGTAAGCGGATACCGGATACCGTAAGCTTTACCGTTTACGCTCCATATGTGAAACGATCTTTAGGCAAAAATTCCGGCAGGCGGCTATTTTTCTGTTGGTAAAACTGGCCTCTGGACCCATAATGACCGTTGGCTTATGAGCTTTTTCTGGAGATCATCTTGAGCCATAAAATCTCACTTCAAGAAGTTATAGCGGGTCCCGATTTTCTCGACACTTATCATTGCCCTCTTGAATGAGACGGAATGACCAAGTTCGTTGACCAAGCACGTTAACTAACGAACTGACCAAGGACCTTAAAAATGGGCAGCAGCGGCTTCCTATGGTCACGGGTAGCACGCTCGTCTTTTTTATACACAGCTCCATATCAGAGTCCGAGAGGCCGCGGGGGTCCGATCGACTCCTCCCCCTTACGTTAGCGGCTGTTGAAACGCCAACAGACGGGCGACGGTTAAAAGTTGCAGCTGCTTTTGAACGACTGTACGGAGGGGTGAGATGGTGAGGCGAGCAGGTACGTGAAAATTGGTATCTAATCAATGTGTGCTGTGCCTTTGGCCTGGGCTAATCTTTGAACCCTGGGATGCAACAGTCACGATGGCTCCATCACTGGAGCTACAAGCTCTAAAAAGATAGGCTTTCTCAGAATCCCTCATTACCCCCACCGAAAGGGCTCCATTACCCCCAAAGGGGGCATGCCCCACCATTTGCCGACCCCTGATTTATAGAAAGAACACCTTCCAAATTTTTTGCATACTTCTTAACAATGAGCCAAATATTGTTTTAAAGAAATAAAAATTCAAAAAAAAATTGCTCCCAAAGTCCAAAAAATACAAATGAAAGAAAACTCGATACGTCATATATCAAAAATAGTGTATTTTTCGAAATCTCAAAAATACATATTAATCTCTGTTTCATTGCAAGTTCAATGTTATATAACATCTGGCATTTGAATTATCCGTCTTAGAGTTAGGTACAGCCCGCCAAACTTAGCGCTGCAAAGCAAGATCCAAAAAATGTTATACACCATAACTCAAAAAATACTTATCTGATAAGCCTGAAATTGTTAAAAGTGGATTCAGAGCCCCTGATTACCCCTGAGACCAATTCTCGTCAAATTCCGAGAGATGAGGGTGTCAAATTGGAAAAAAGTGGTACGATCTATCGTGGAATGCCCCAGCTATCTTCATGGCTTAGTAGAGTAGTGTGCCGAGTGTACTCTACTCGTAATCTATGGGTCGCGGGCTCGCGGCCGGTCAGCCTAAAGTGTTTTAGCACGCATTCGTTTCCAGTAGCATCTGGCCAGCTGGCAACTGTCGTGAGGGCTTATGTTCGTTTCTAAATAGTATTTGGCTAGCCTCCAACTGTGTGAGGGCTATACATATTTACGAGTGTTTGATTAGGTCAGGTTAGGTCTGCTTTGGATAAGTTAGGTCAGAAAGAAGCAACTCCTGGTAGCGCCTCTCCTTGGTTGCTAAAACGAAGCAAGCGAATTCCGGATATTACGAAGTCCGGAAGACAGCTATGCAAACCCGCCCATTCTGGATTTTTTTTGTGATATAGCTTATGTAAAGGAGAATAAAATGTGTAAAAATCCGCAATATCGAGGGGTATCCATTTTTCTCAAATTCAAAATTTGGTATTTGATTTTTAATTAAGTTCACTAATTAGTTTATGACGTCATCACCTTCATCCTCAAATTAAAGCCTGGTCCATTTCCTTCATTTCAAACTTTAATACAATGCGATATGTCTAAAACTTTCAAAGTTATGACACTTTAAAAATGATAATGTGCCTCGCCTAAGTCAATATTTGATGAACTGTATCTCGGAAACGTGACGTCATATCTTACAAAACTTGTCTCCCTTCTTTTCACATGTACCTTGAATTGTAGATGAATGAACAGTTTCACAAGTTTCGGAAAAATCGGAGGAGGTGAGATTCAAAACTATAATTTTTGTCCCACTTAGCGTGGAATGTCGGATGTCCCCTTTATGTCGCTGTCCGCTGAGGTCATATCACGTCATGAAAGATCCCCAGCAGTTTTTTTTTTTTTGACAATAGCTCATAGAGACATGCTAAAGTGATGAGAACACGTCAGACGTGTCCAGCAGGGCTGCGGAGTCGATGGATTTTCGGCGACTCCGACTCCGGCTTTCAAAAACCAGCTCCGACTCCGGGCAGAATTGTCGACTCCGACCGACTCCAACTCCCGACTCCAACTCCGCAGACCTAGCAGGGCTGCGGAGTCGACAGATTTTCGGCGACTCCGACTCCGACTCCGGCTCGGGTTTCTAAAATCGACTCCGACTCCGACCCCGGTCACAACTGTCGACTCCGACCGACTCCGACTCCGCAGCCCTGGTGTCCAACGGTCCAGCTCTACGATACGAATCGACTGATATGCAACATGACCTTTTCCGGTCAGGTCATGACCTAGACCTAAGGTATAAATGACCGTCAAATTAATTATAGTTCATTCGACGCGTCTCCACGAAAGGAACACGATGCTGGCAAAATGAACGTCGTCACTATCTTGAGTCAAAAGTTATTACCGATAAGCGTTTTTCATAAAAAGCTGCTATTTTGGGAGATCTTGCCCTCTGGAGGCTTAACCGTTGATCTTGGGTCAAATATGTAAAAAAAAAAAAACTCGGAAAGGTGTGTAAAAGGGCTATCGAATGCACATTTCCGCGGCGCTGTAGCCCTATTGGTTCCCGAGTTCGCCGTTGGCGGTTTCCAAAATGGTTGAAATGGACTAAATTTGACCTCTGGGCTCTGATGACCTCTGGCGACCTGACCCAAAAAAGTGACCGAAGTGTTTCCGTTATTATTTTTGACGCTTTTTCGAATGCCGCTTACCGCGTGTCGATACGTGGCCCAGGAGCCGAGTTAGACAGGGAGGGGGGGGTTGTTCAGAGTCGACACCCCCCACCCGGCCGGGCGCGGAAGTCGCGGAGCACCGGCCCGGCGCGGGTTAAGCTTATCCAATTTGACTTACACAGAAATGATATCCCAGATTTATCCTACCTACATGTGCCGGTTCGCGAAGTGCGCACAGACGAGGTTTTGTCGCAATTGCATTGTTTGCAAATTGCAATCTGGCCCTTCTGAACTTACCTACTACAGTTGGCTCGAGGTCGACAAACACCGCGCGTGGAACGTGTTTTCCAGCGCCAGTCTCGCTGAAGAAAGTGTTGAAGCTGTCATCTCCTCCGCCGACTGTTTTATCCGAGGGCATCTGCCCGTCCGGCTGGATGCCATGCTCCAGGCAGTACAGCTCCCAACAGGCGTTGCCGATCTGCACACCGGCCTGTCCCACGTGGATGGAAATGCATTCACGCTGCAATGCAAATGGGACAAAATATTAGCTCAGGAGTTATTCACCAAAACAAGCATACAAGGTGAAGCATGAGCAAAAAGCAATCGCCATACTATCGCCTATAATCGGCACATTGACACAGGCATCGTAAAAGCGAAAAAGGTCTGTGGCAGAACTATATAACTTACCATATTTCAGTAGAAAGAATACGAAATCACAAGATAATCACCAAAAAACCACAGGCGGACGCCACAGTCACCACGATGAGCTACGAGCGCGGCGAATGATCTGGAATGATCCGGAATCGAATTTCAGACGCCGCGTGCATTGCTCTGTTGCTATGGTAACAAACGGTCACTAGCAATTGCATGGTGTAATTGGTGGAAATTTCGCGCGCTGTCGGGAGCATCAAATGTGAAGGATTTACTTCCCCGATAATTGCCAAAACTCGCCAAAACTAATGCTGTACAAATATATACTTTATTATATAATATACTATATAAGTATATTATATATACTTATCTTTTCTAATTTGAAACTGTTTGAAAAAGACCTGTGGTCGAAATATTACATTTTTCAAATAAAGTATATATTTGTACAGCATTAGTTTTGGCAATTATCGAGGAAATAAGGTCATGTTTTTACATTTTCTACTATTTATGAACATGTTCCTCGCACAAGCACTAACCTCATTAAAGGATTTACTTCCCCTACACCTGTAGGACCTGTAGTTTCGCTATACCTATTTATATACACTGTGGCAGGTGGCTATACCACACTGTGGCTATACCTATATCAGGGGTCGGCAACCTTTTTTGGGTGCGGGCCGGATATGAGATTAGATGACCCACGTATAGTATACATAATACACATGCACTCGTAGAGGATTGGCCAGCCAATGCAGGTGAAGCTCACAGTGTCGAACTGCTCCAGAGTCCAGACAGCGGCGCTGCGTTTTACTGCACTTCTCTGCATGACCCTAAATATCGTCACGGTCAGGGGCGCGGGAACTACTTTCCGACTGGGGGGAGGGGGGCACACCATAATAGAGATCAACTGTAGTATTTAGTGGCCTTATGTCACCCGTCAGTGCTGCCGTCTGGCGGGTGACCTTGGAGGGCCGAGCGGCCAGGGTCAGGGACGAGGGCAGTCTTGGTGCGGAGCTCGCGGTGGACGCTCGGCTGCGGTGTTGTTGTGCGTTATGTCGTTTTATTAATAACCGTCTTGACTTCGTGTGTTCTGCCAATACACGGCAAGACAGTACATCAACCTAGGGTCTACCCCCAAATCTAGTTTTCTCACCGGTTTTAGGCCACTTATTTTTCATCCCTCGGCTTTTTCAACAAACAAGAAAACATTTGCAAAAAAAGTGTGGCATTCCGTCTCAAAGCTGTGGGGGCACCGCCCCCACGGCCCCAGAGTTGGGGGGGGGCAAGCTGCCCCCACTGCCCTCCCCCCCCAGCCGGCTCCCGCGCCTATGGTCACGGTCATAACTGCAGTCGCGGGTCTGTCTTCACATTGTCCAAAGTGTCGATGGTCAGACGCACCATACATTTCCAGAGTCGCTAGAGATTAATCCAGTCCCTGTCTGTCTGTGTCAGACCCTCTAGCAGCGACTCTTGCATCATCTGCATCAGGCTGGTCGTGGTGTGACCTACAACAACTGTTGCTTCAATTGCTAGAATGGCAATCTTAGAATCCTTCAATCCTACCACGGCAAAAATGAACTCCAGTGATGACACAAACACAGCCTCGGCTTTTGTCAGATTCTTGCATTGTACGCTAACTAAGTAAATACAGCCTAAATCTCAGCGCTTGCCACTTACAGACAGTCGATTGCTGTAAGCGTTCCATTTGATGATACCCCTCGATTAGATACTAACTAGTCCTGATATTGGCGCTCGCTTATAACTTGACCAAAGACATCTCCCTACCTACCAGTGAGTTGCACACCATGTGTAAAATTGATGTGGGAATAGTCACGCAAAAATTTCGGGGCGCTACGCACCGCGGTTTTTCCGTTATTCACGAAAAATCTCAGGGGGCAGATATCCGATCCCACGTTGGTGCGCGATTTAACGCTCTTTTTACTCTTTATTGTTGGAAGAATTTACGAGTAGAACAGAAGTTTACCGTGGTCACATTGCAATATGAAGAGTAAACTCAAAACTGCATTAACATTTGGCAATGAAGTGTCAGAAATGGTCCAAATGACGTGTACGGTCAGACTTGATAACGCATGGCCCAACCCCCCCCCCCAGAAGCGGCGGAACACATTCAATTAGGGGGGGGGGCACCAGTAGCGGCGGAACACCTTCATCTGATGAAGCCTGATGAAGAAGGGGGGGGGGGCACTGTCGACTTCAGGTCCCATTCTTTCCATGCAACGCCCATAGGGCTAATGTTAAAATGCCAAAAGCAAAGGGGGGCACGGTGCCCAGGTGCCCTCCCCGTTCCGCCGCCTATGGGGGGGCAGTGGGCACTGCCGACTTTTGGTCCCATTCCTTCCATGCAACGCCCACAGAGCTAATGTTAACCCGCGCCCCAGTGGCGGTCTCAGCCAACTTCGCCCTAGTGGGGGGGGGGGGGGGGGGCATATGTTACCACCCACCTCTAACTCAAAAACTAAGAGTGATAGAAAGACGCGGTAAAAAGCAGTCGATAGCTCTCACTGCGTACGTACGTTTGAAAGTATTTCGGTCATTTTTCATCTTAGAGCAATATTGGGGTCACCAGAGGTCATCAAAGGTCAAAATTTGCCAATGGTCATTATATTTTTCAGAAAACATGCCGTTATCTCAGGAACTATAGGTAGCTAGAAAAACGAATGGAAAAGCAATCGATAGCTCTTATTCTTCTTTTGATAAGGTCCTTATCAAAATTGACCTCAGGTCAACGGTTTAGCCTCCAGAGGGCAAAAACTCCAAAATTAGCTGTTTTTACGAAAAGTGTTTTTCGACAATAACTTTCGACTTCAAAAAGCCACAACCTTTCTATTGCCAGAATCGTGCTCCTCTCGCCGAGACGCGTCGAATGAACTATAATTTGACCTTGAAAGGTCAACTTGAAAATTTGACCTCAGGTTAAGGTCATGACCTGACCGGAAAAGGTCACATTGCATATCAGTCGATGCGTCTCGGCAAGACAAACACAATGAGACCGTCCCCAGCGTTCTATCTCTTTCCAATCGCGAGTTATTGTCAAAAAGCTGTTTGTTGCCTCAAATGACCTCGGATGACCTTTCTAGAGGCTATCAGCAAAAATGACACCGTGGTGACACCGTGGTCATCACGAGTGGTCCAAATCATTGTGTTTCTGAAATATTTGGACTGTTCCTATGCGTACACACGGATCTAGAGGCATTTTCATTTTTCTCCATTGACTTGTAATGGAAAGGTCACGCCACTGACCTGACCTTAGGTCACGGATATAAAAATCCGAGATATACAAATTGTAGGCGCCCATAACATCATGCAATCCACCAAGTTTAAAACCTTTCTGACAAACACAGTGCAGGCTGGACATGATTGCAAACTTTTTTAGGCTTGGTCAGTTAACTTGACCTGGTGACCTGACCTGACATGACCTGGGGTCAAAAATTTCACACGTTGTCCAAAATTGATGTACCAAAAGCTACCCCAAGCGGCGCGGCGCTACGCGCCGCGGTTTTTTATTCACACGCAAAAAACGCGACAGGGTGGTAACATATGCCCCCCCCCTGGGGCGAAGGTTAAAATTCCCAAATCAAAGGGGGCACGGTGCCCCAGTGCCCTCCCCGTTCCACCGCCTATGTCCCCCCCCACACTCGACTTGAAAGTCGTTCCTACGCCACTGAGGCTTCATCAGATGCGCTTGACTTCCTTACAATATACCTTCTTGTATTTAGTGGTCAAAGCTTATTAGCAATGCGGCTTTTGCGCCGCATATCACCGCAAATGCCGGATGCATCGCATATTTACGTCTGGACAACGAGTTGCGGGGAAAAGTGCTGATTGTGTTGCAGTTTTAGGAGCCGGTGATTAGGCTGGATTTTTGGGTTACTTTTTCGTTCCGATTCATGTATTTCATAGTGTTTGGCTTTTGAATATTTTAGTTCTTTCAGATAAATATTACTTGCCTTACAACTTTTGTGAAAACGTTTCATTTTTTTTATAAGCCGACGTTCAGAGTCCTAAAAATGCATCAGCACTACAATCATTGTAAACAAACAAATGGAGCACCACTTGGCTCTGTTCCAAGGCCATTTTTTAGTTTATCTGGCGGTTTTCTTGCTCTTGTACGTCGTTTTGTTGGATGTTTTGAACCCCTTAAGATTGACTTATATCATATTTAAGAAGCATGTTGACTGAAAACAATCTGAAGTATCCAGGAGGCTGACAGAGGTCCTGATTACTGAGCAATATCAATATCAAGTTGAACAAGTTATGAAATTTTGGTTGATAAACGCAAGTTGATCGGGCTCATATATCAGCAAGAAAAAATAAAATTATAAGAGCTTATTGTCCAAAAACAAGCTATAATATTGCAGACCTTGGAGCAATACTGAAGAGCACGCTGAGCAGGATCATGCCAGAAAATGTTGAATCGATGAGTGCATATTGATGTATTGGTATGAATATTGAATGATAACTTACAACAGCAAGATAAATTAGTGCTAACTATCAAGTTAAAATCTAGAATGAATGGACTTGGGCAGTTTTACTATGCTTAGATGCTATGCAGATTGTAATGTGCATCAGGTACTCAGTGTCTGGCAAATGAAACATGTGATCATTCCATTGCTACTGGAGGAGAAAGCTTGGATCACTAAATCCACTTTATGTTGATTTTGATGTTAATCATCATCACTGTATTTCTTGAAAAAAGGATTGTAGTAAAATTGTTAATGTGACAATCCATGCAACGATGTGATCATATTATGTGTTCATAGTCATTCGTGATAGTCATTATTGGTCCAATATACAATGGCAAAGCTCTCAGTCTCAGTGTTTCTTCCTGTGGATGGCCAGCAGTGACTCAGAGCTTAGAAGTATTAGTTTTCTTCACAGGGCTGGGATAAAAAGTACTGAGGGTAATCTTCCACCAAGGAACTCTACTTTGACATGGTATGAGATGTAGGCACAAGTAGGTAGGTGCTCAGTTCCTATAGTCAGTAGTTGTGTATGTTTAGTCGGGTTAGCTTAGATCAGATTGTTAGTTTTTTAATTTGCCAAATGTCCATAAAAATGTGACCTGAGCAATGAGCATACCTGAACCTGACTAACATGACAGCTGACCTAACCTCAATCATCACACATATTTGCAGCCTACCCAAGACCTGCATGGCAGTAGCACCCAGTTATAGGTAGGTACTCACTACTCACCCTAACTCAATCTTACCTGCTAACCTTCAACTTGCCAAAAGTTAGCTCACATT